CAATTCATGTTTGTTTCGGCGTGATTTTCATCAGCCGGAGCTAGCAACGGTCCACCGACCAAAAAATGGCCTGGTGTTAAGCATTCGGTGTCATTTGGATCAGTTGACATAGCGCAAATTGGTCTTGAATTAGCACAAGCCTCTACTTGATAAAGAAGCGTGCATAATTCTTCATACGTCAACGCTGTATGGCCAATAGTTTTGAATAAATGCGTTTTTACTGTTTTTACGGCTGCCTCGGCCAAGCCGTTGAAATGAGGTCCACCAGCTGGTGAAAAATGCCAACTTGTGCCCTTTGAGGCCAATTCGTTAAGAAACTCCTCGCAATGAAGTGAAAAAAATTCGTGCAAATCTTTATTGGCTCTTACGAAATTCGTGCCATTGTCACTATACATATTAGCCACCATGCCACGTCTGGCCACCATGCGCCTGAAAGCAGCAATGAAGCCATTCGCGGACATGTCTGTGACTAACTCTAAATGCATTGCTCTTGTACTCATACACACAAAAACTGCTATATATGCTTTTGAGGTTTTCGATCCTCTGCCTTTTGATAGTTTGTATGGAATAGCGCCCGTGAAATCCACGGCGCAATTCGTAAATGGTTTTATGGAATCTTGTGATCTAACGGCTGGGAGATCCGCCATGATTTGTTTCATTGGCTTTGCTCTGTGCCTGAAACACGTGACACATTTACTAACGACTTTCTTTATTTCAATTTGAGAATTTATAACCCAGTATGTTTGCCTTAATACTGATTCGGTACATCTTGGTCCGCCGTGAAGGCATAGTAGATGAACACCACGAATGATTAGCGATGTTACGAAATTTTTCTTTGGTAGAAGTATTTGATGTTTTGCATCGTAATCGAGATTAGATTTACGAAGCCGACCACCAACACGAATGAGGCCGTTTTCATCCAAAAATGGGCTTAGTTGTATGATACTACTTGATCTTTGTACAAAACCACTTGATTTAAGCATTTTAATTTCACTTGAAAAATAGTCATTTTGAATGATTTTAATAATCAATATTTCTGCATCTTTTAATTCTGCAGCGGTAATTGGGCCCCTTTCTGATGTTTGCTTTCTGCCAATATTAATGAAACGAAGAGAATATGCAATTATTCGTTTTAATTTATAGAAGGAATGAACATTTGGTAGAAAATCTTGCTGTGGTTGCACCGTAGAATTTAGTGCCAAAATTTCACTCAAGGGGTTAACAGTGGTATTCTTTATTTCATCCAAATATTGAGAATCTTGTAAAAAATCTGGACCATTCCACCACATTTTATGCTGAAGTAATTGTGATGGCAAAAATCCTCTAGAAGCACAATCTGCTGGGTTTTTATCTGTTGTCACATGAAACCAA